GTTGTATTTGTTTTTTTTTTTTTCTTTTTCCTGGGTACTTTAACGGAATTATATTCGAAGTGAAGTTGAACGGGCACGATTATGAAGAAGTTTGTAAGGAGTTTTAACGAAGTTTCGAAATTTATTACTACCGCTTGATTATTTAATAGTTGAATCCCGAGATGAAACGAAGAAACGCGGGGTGGTTCTTTCATCGGACGTTTAATTACTGTGATTTTTGTTTGCATAAGAGTAAGGGTGGTGTACTCTCGTTACCGCATTTAAAAAGTCGACCTTATCGCGTTCAGAAGCCGGCTCGTTACGGAAGCTACAATGAAACCGTTCGTCTTGCCAATTACAGTCTTCTCTTTTACCCCTACCCTCTGTGCTTGCCTTCTTTCTTCTCCTCGTCCACCATTTTCACCCATTTTCCCGCCGGCACACACACACACACACACCTTTTCGAGCCTCTACGCCGAATGTTCTTGGAACGCTTAAATGATAAGAGACACGAGAGTGCTAATTACTTCCAGTGAAAAGAATCTTGTTTACACCGTTCGGCGAAGTTTTCACGGAGGAAATTACCTCTCTCTAACACCCGGTTCCGCGAGGCTTCTCGCGATCGCACAACTTCCAAACTCCCCCGCGGCGTAAACAGTTTTCTATTTTTTTTCCCCTCTTTTTTCTGCTGCAAATGGTTTTAGCCGTTTCGAAATCCAGAGGGGCAAAAAAAAAAAAGAAGAAAACAAATAGAGAATCGTACGCGGTATTTGCTCCTTTCGCAGCGCGAGATCGTTTGTGTGCTCTTTTCAGTAGAACAGAGAGTAGAGTAGAAAACGGGAGAAAGAAGGAAAGAGTAAAAAAAAAAAAAAGAGAAAAAGGAGGGGGAAAAAACGAAACGAAGCGAGACAAACGAACGTAACGCTCGTGTAACGTCAATAGACGTTTCCGTCGGATCTGCTGGAACAAAGAACTGTATTCGACAGCGTTTGAACGCACCTGAATAGCGATACCCCTTCCGACGATTGACGAATTAAACCATCCGCATTTTCCCTAATCCCCGATCCGCGTAATTGATGAAACGCTATCTGAAGCGGGGCGTTAATTTTTTGGCCTCTTTCGATTGTACCAGGTCGATGGTGCCGCAAGATTGGCGTTCAGTGGGTGTTTCCGAGGGTGGAAATGCTGGCGCTGGGATAGTTGGGCGCGATGTAACACAGACGACTTCACTGATTGCCAATATGGCGGAGAGCATAGAGGACCACCTCGTCGTCTCTCTATCTCGATCAGCCGCGCGCGGATCCACAATGTGCCGCGGGCGTTAATTCCCCCGTGAAACGTATTGCACCCCCGCGATTCAATTGTTCCAGTTGCACGGCCACAGTGCTTCACGCTGCGTCACCGCGAACGACTCGTGTGCAGCTCATAATGATGTAATTTTCGAAGTGGTGGGCGCATTATTGTCGCCACCACCCTCAGACACACAGAGAGGGGGGTTCATCATCGACGAGAGGGAACTGGAGAAACGGCGAAAACAACTGAGTTCATCCCTCTCGCTTATACGCGATCTCTCCCTACTCTTCGCTTAGATATTCACGTTTTGTTCTACGTTGTGAATCGATGGTGAACGAAGAGAGAGAGGTTCTCGTTTAAAAAGAATTTCTAACAAGTTTCTTCAAGAAGGAGATGTTCCTGCGAGATGAAAGCCTCCGGAAGGACCGATATATTGTCTACTTTGCTTTCTCTCCTTTTTCTTCCTTCTTTCTCTCTTGTGATACACAGTCGTATCGGTGTGTCGTTAAACGATACACGCGGGTACCGTGAAATCGTGGCCATTTATTATGTATCTACGCTATCATTTGTACACGTGTACAGGAGGCGCATTAAAATTTGATCAAAGCTCGTCGGGTTGCTCGCGCGCAAAAGCGGGTGGCTGGGTGGGTTAGGTGGGCGAAGACGAAAGAGAACAGAGAACATCCAGGCGTCTTTTGAATAATTCTAAGACGCACGAATGTTTTATTTAACGATCAACGCGAACGTGTACGGACAATGTCGAAGAAAAGCGGTCAGCGATTTCGCTCTGTCACGAGATAGGACCATCGTGAACTCCGCCGTTTTTCAGCCTTTATTTCGTTCCATCGATTATTCAAGTCACCACGTCACTTTCGTGGAAACGTTTTATCTCGATAATGCTGGCTAACCATCTATCCGAAGGTTGGTAACCCCGTCGGGTTGCACAACACGCGGGTCGATACAAGAACACGTAACCCGAAATGAGAGACTTTCAGCATCTAATGACAAGAATTCCGAGGAATTGTTCTTACGCCGCCGGTCTCCACCACGATTCCATTTTTTCCCTTTCAGATAACGTTGGGTGCGCACGTCTCGGTCGACGAGGTTGTCACGTATTCACCGCACCCGGAAAACTCGGATGCAACCCTTCTAACACAACAGGCAGTCATTTCTGTCCAAGGGGTTCCCCTTATCGACCATCTCGAGGGTCTATTGACGAAGACCATAGAAGAAAATGCAAAGAAGGTAAGCCGGTTACACACGTTTTCGGTGGTTTTCTGCTGATATTTTTAATGTTTCTAAATTAGAGTGCTTTCGTTTCAATTTTTTACAGACACACGGTACTCTCAGTACCTAATTCATTTTTCTTATCATTTTTTCATTATTTTGATTATTTTTTATTTTTCTATTATTGTGTCATTTCGCATTCCACTATTCCACGATGCTCGATTTAATACATCGAAATTCAGACATTCTTGTAAGAATTTTTTTGCAGGAAAGTGTTTTTCTCTGTTCATTTCTGTGCTTATCAAGACCTGTATTACGATCGAATATTTCACACGCAAAGAAAAGTATTTTTTTAAAGTATGAACGTATCTTAACCCTTTGTGGTCGAAGGATCACGTACTCTGAGGAAGTACCGATACTTCTACACCGTGTAACTACCTTATTACTCCAATCTTTCTCTCAAACTAAGTCATACGGAAATTCGTTAAACGTTTTTCAATGAAAAATGTACGAACTTATATTAGGCTCTGTGTTCGTAGATTTTCGTGAACGCGTGTATGGGTTCGTCGTCTTCAAAGGGTTAACAGCATTATTTCTCACAGTTACGCTAAAGAAAAATTCTGCAAATTCGGCAAGAACTTTGTAAAAATTTGCGAATCGTTCAGAACGCGCGAAATATTTTGTTTCGCGGGGTAACAATGGGTTCGCCCCGGTTCGATTTCAGGGCCGACTAGCGATGGAATGGGTGATCGCGAAAACGACGGAGAAAACACCGGACAACAAGCTGTACCAAGCGTTTCTCCAGTTCGACGACTGAAAGTAAGGAAAAAAAATAAGTGATTCGGCGAGAGCGACCATTCCCTTCGTTAACGTCTCGGTGCTCATATTATCTAAATGTACATTCACGGCACCCGAGGAACTGAATCAGCAAATCTTTCTATTAATAATGACTATATGTACAGTCGGTATAGTTATTCGAACACTGATTTTGATCTAATAAAGTGGAATCAACGTAGTTGAATTTTTTAAACGATTCTAACGGGGAAATGAAATTGTTCACGAGTACTTTTTCGAGTATTAAATGATTAAATAAATATTTTCTTAGAGAGAGTCTGAAGACACGCGGTAGTAGTTATCGACTGAAGCAAGCCGAGGTATATTTCGAGGTGAACGTGAACGGTTTATGGAACAGTGAAAGTGTCGTTTATTCACAATTTTACGTGCATATATTACACATGTGTAAAAAAGTATGAAGGGGAAAGCTTTGCGTCGTCGATCTTTTCGCCGAAGTCGCTATCGTAAAAGAAAAAAGAGAGACGTAACTCTCCGGCAATGCGATTGAAACGATTAAGAATACAGACAATATCAGACAATATCGCGATTTCAAACCAAAGGCTCTTATTTCTCCAGAGAACAGTTTCTTACGATAAGCTTTGTAAAATCAACATGATACTTTTTCAACCAACAAGAAAACAATGTACGAGAATAGAAGTATTTACAAAAAGTATAGCGTAATAATGTTCGTATTATTTATGAGATTTGAATCTTTGAACATTTACTAAAGAAAGAGGAAAAAGGAAAAAAAAAACGCACGCTTATATTTTACCGAGTTTAATTTGTATTTTCTGTATTAAACCTGTCGAATACTTTGTAAGAGATCATGTTACGTGCTACGTACAATGAAAGTGTCCTCGATATCGGTGCATATCTCTTTCGTCGTGCTTCTTCAACTTCAGTTTTGTCGTGCTGAAAAAATGAGAAAACAAACAGAACAAAAAGATTCGACGAAGTGTTTCTCCCATGATTGTTAATCGTGCTAGTATGTGACGAATTATTTTAATATTCGATTATTGCCACGCGAGAGGCTTCTTCTGCAGCACTATACGGCCGTTAGTTGTAAATTAGCGAATGTATGTGACTTGAATTATAATAAGCTACCGAGGTAGAAAACAAATAACAAAAAAACAGAAAAGCAAAGGAAAAAGAAATAAATACTCCCAAGCATATGATGTAACAATTAGTGGACAGATTTTCATGTAAATTTCATACGGCATACCCGAGCTGCAGTTTGGGTTCTCGTCTACTACCTGACGCTTGTTTGAGTCAGAAACCACGAACAAATAAAATATATGTACCTTTAAAACAGCACGCTTGCGTTAACGTTTTCTATGCACGATTACAAACCGAATCCAACCTGTAACTCCACCCTCGACCGCGGAACTTCGATAAAAATCGTGGTCGTGTTTCTTGGTGCATTCGCGACAGTGATTCGCGCGGCGGAGAGAAGTAAGAAAAATCCAGGTCCGTGTTGGGTCAGGGAGAAAAGACGGTTTTGTCCCAGGTGGTTCCGCCGATACTCGTATCGTTCATCCTCCTGCGAATCTCTCTAGAGGATATTCGCGCGCGAGTCAGCGAGTACTTGGACGCGTCGTGAACGAAACACGCTCGTATCATACGGGCCAAGTATCGATTCAACGATGGAGGAGGACCTAGTCTCGACATTCCGCTCGAGCAATTTCCACCGGAGCGGAATTTCGACCGGGTCATTATTGTTCTCGGCGGTCTAGAGACAATTTCCATCGGTTTACTCAAATCTGGCTGGCCAACTCTACGGGTAAGTAGAAAGAGAGACAATAATGGGCGAGTGCATGAGTGTGAGATAGAGAATGATGGAACGACCGATATATGTATAGAGAGAGAGAGAGAGTGTGTGTGTGTGTGTAGAGTTCGGCGATGGCACGTGAGGCCTGCAATACGAAATCGTGGCGCAGGAGGCAGGGAACAGACGAAATTTGACATCAGGCTCGACCAGTGGTATGTAAGAGATAATTGATGACGTTACGGTTCATCGCTCGCTACTCGGTTACCGGACACGGACAAATATTGACAGCTTCCGATCACAGAGCTCTGACCGGTATCCTTTGTAGGTAGCTCACGCACACCATCAACCCATCCCCCCACCGATGTCTGTTCGGTTTTCCTGTCGAATCGCCTCGCTTAGTCCCTGCTACGTTAGTAAATCAACGTTCCCTCCCCCGCTGGACGTGCATGTCGAGCAAGTTTCGTAAATTAAAGTGGCCTCGTTTGCCCCTATAAAGCTTACCTGTGGCTATTGGTTGCACGTGACGTCGCGCACCACGCTTTGAGGACAAAGTGGCAGTTTTCCCCCTTTGCCTTACTTTTATTATACAGCTGGCCGTGTCTTCGTGCCCGTTTCTCTCGACAAGCGACACAAAATTACCACCCGGAAACTTAAACCTGCGCGGATGGGGGGGGTGGTTGATTGGAGAATTCGAAGGGTGTCTCTGTTCTATCGGGGTTCGTTAGGAAGGAACGTGGAAGGACGAAGACAACGACGAGAAGGAAGTACAGGTGACCAAGCAGGTTGCGAGACGGTAAGCGAGAATAGTTTCGCGTAGAACGTCTCTCCGCGTCCTTGGCCGTTGGTGCATTGTTCATCTTTAATTGCCTGTGCGGTTCTCACTTTGGTATTTCGCGAGCGAACGCGTCTTCAAAGGAAGCTCCGCGGCCAAATCAGTTCATAACAAGTTTCAGAAAATTCGATTAGGTAGCTTCCTTATCCTGCGGTGGAACGACCGATCGTTTGCGGCGAGAACAAAGGATCGACTGTTATCTAACTGTTAATGCTCTTGCACTCTCTGTGTAATCGCTTCCTCTTTCCACCGAATCTGTTCGAAAACTTGCACCATTAAATTCTGACTGATTATACGTACAAATGTAGAGCCGGTGTGTATCAGTCGGAAAATTTCCCTTTTATACAACAATGCTATCGGAGAGATAGGAATACTGGAGATACTGGGATTTTAACCGGTTGGAAAATATCCGGTGTTAGCCTGTTTGAGAAGCTACTTTCGTGGCTTGAAAGGGATACGATTTTCAAGGCCGTCCTTCGCTGCTCCATTTTCCATTCCTTTAGCTTGAACGCCGGAAGAAAAGGAGAGCTTCAAAGGCAAGAAGGGGCCGTCGAAAAGCCTCATGGTTTACAGATCGCGACGGTGTACTCTCTTTCTCCTTCTTCTCTATCTCTCGTCAAGGCTCGTAAAAGCTCTCGGGACGATCGACTGTAAAAGTCGGCGACACGGTCAAGGAGATACTTCTTGATTTCCCGCTTCTCAATTCACGAGCTCGTGAAAAACCACACTCCACATATTCACCGGTCACTGCCTTATATTATCCCCACTGTTTTGCTTCCGACCTTTTTCGTCTTTCCGGCGAATTCACTTGGAAGATCGATAGAAATTGTTCGTGGACAGTTGGGAGAACGCTTTCTTCCCTACGAGGCGATAAATTCGTCTCCTCTTTTCTCCTTTTCCCCTTTTTCCTCCCCCTTTTTTCTCAAACGAATTCGAAAGTTCGCTTCGGTGTTCAGAAACAGGGGTGGTTCCCTCTCCCGAAAATTTTTGAGAGCTTCCAGAATGATCCTTTCCGACGGAATTAATCGTCGGAATAAATGAAATTAGCTCCCCGTGAAATTTGAATTCCTTACGCGCGAACGAACGCTTGTGTTTCGCGGGGGCTTCAGCTGCTTCTCCCCTCGAATACCTGAACGCTTATTGAGATAAGTCCGCTCCTCGGGACGTTCCAAATAACTCCGTCGATATATATTCTTTCCTCTCAGATGATTCTTTAACGAGCTTTAAATTCCCCCCCAAACTTTCTAACTTCCGACAAAACAGCATCAGAGAAAAGAGAGAGAAAAAGCATCGAAGTTTATGAATTTAAAGAACAGCAGTTTAGTTGTAGTCTCCAGCCCTTTGAATAAAAGCGCATACTAAATGCAGGTGAAAACGAATGAGGAATATGAAAAGATGAAAGAGGGTGCCTTTTCAAGACGCCATAAAACAAAGACTCCAAGTACTACCCTGTGCATAGTTTAAAGGAAGGGTATATATTTTTTCGTTCTTTCTACATTCTTTCGATGTCGGCTACTTTCGGGGGAAAGCTGCTTGATCATACAGAATTAGCCCGTGTCAACGTCGTATCACAGAAACTGTGTATGACGTGAAATAGCGAACGTGCCGGGAGGGTGTGTGTGTAGGTTAGTATAACGCAGCTACGTAGGTAATAACGGGAGATGTTGAGCTGTTCTGAGCGACGTGGCGCATACGCTCCGCCTATTAGCATACAATTATCTTTATGCTTCTTTTATGATTCATATTTAGTGTCGGGTACCGCCAGCGCTTTTCGCTTCGTCGGCCAGTGCAGCTTCAACTTTGCAACTTTTACGATCGCGCTTGTTTCGAAACTTAACGTTCGCCCCCCGGTTCACCACCCCCTTATCATCGTTTCCCCGTGCAGCGGTACGGGTATTCTTGCTAAACGTGCTTTTGCAAATATCCCCCCGACACCCACGGAGAGGGGCGAAAGCCCGAAAATTTGTTGTCGTACGTGCTGAAAATCAGCAACAACTATCGATTTCTGCACACACCGCTCCGCGGTTTCTCCGTTCCCTTGTTTCGCCAGGCAAACCGGTGCCAACGACAAAGGAACTTGTGTCGAATGGGCTTTTTCTTTTGTACCGGAGAATTCTTTGAAACGTTCGTAAAAAAAGAGAGGGAAAAAAGAAGAAAAAAATGAAACGATGAGCGGTGGAAAATGGGAAAATGTTTAGTTTTTTTTTTTATTCGAAAGAGAGAGAACGGTCGAGTGGGTCCCTCCTAAAAATCGAAAGAATAAAGATCGATAACACGAAGGCATATAGAGAGAGAGCCTGCTACGTATCCCTTCGGTACTCGTACCATTTCGTACGGTCTATGGGTACGATCGTGGTTCCAATGACCCGCCATTGCTACCGGCTACGACTGACCATTAATTTAATTAATGCAGATCCATTTGCAGCTTGCACGCGAGCCGGCCGTTTCGGGCATTTATTTCCTGCCGTTTCGGCTTTATTTTTGACGAAACGCGAGCCCGCCTATGATCACACGTTCAATACGTCTATATTGTGTGATTTTTTTCGTTAGTGCAGTTTTTACACATCAGCCTCGTTCACGTTTCCCTCGTTTCCTCTGGTATTCTCCTCGCTCCACCATTTTTTCTCCCCCGTTCACCGTTCTTTAATTGCAAGCGAAATTAGCGCGGTATTTATAACATTGCACCGTTCCATTCGTCGCTAGCTTTCCGAACGATAAATTCATTCGCCGATTTTAATGAAATTTCATACGTGGACGGGGTGCGCGCTAGTGTACTGTTTCTCTTAATGATATTAAAAGGTGGCGTCATATGGGTTATATTATGGTAGCGACAGATCATTTAATCGAGACGACCGAACGTTACGTTCCAGATATTACTCGCTAATTTTAACGAAGTATCTTCTCTCGCGAATGTACGTATATTTAAAAATCATCCCGACAATTCGAGTAACGTTATCGTGTTACTCCTGATACTGATTTAACACAGCGACAAATCATTCGGCAATGCTTTCGTTCAATTATCTCTGTCCGCGAAATTTTACAATTTATTCGCGAAAGTTTCGCGCTCCAAGTTCCGCGCATCGAGATAACGGCGAAGTTTAAAGGGATACCTGTTTGCAATATGACTCGAGCGACGATATAAATCAGCAACGGGGCGCATCGTTCGCGCGCGCACCAAGTTTGATTTCACTAGTTTTAGACCACATCCGGCCGGATGGCTAATAACGGACGTGCTCCGACTACTAATCGGCTTTCCACAGATTTCCTGATGTACCAACGGTTATATGGGTTAAATGTTGCGGGGTGAAGGGTCAAAGGGCAAGATTAGATACTTGCGACGGACTTGTGTAGTAAGTTGTGCATAATGCATGGGCCCCTCGATAGCCGGTCGATTCATAATAATGTTCATCCTCTCAGGATATGCGTTTACATGAAATTTATAGTTCACGTGAACAGACTAGAGGATACTTTGTTAAACCGCGTGAATAATCTCCGTGAAACTTTACCCAAGGGTCATCGAGCATTCTTTGTAAAGGAAAGCAAGAAAAAAAATCAATCTGAATTTGCTCGGCAGAGTATCGTAAAAGAGGACCATGGCAAGAAATTATACCGAATTACACGTTCTTCCGTATCTCGAACATTCTCCTTTTCTATGTCTTCGTTCTTTTTTTTTTTTTTTCAATCTACTTTCGAGCAAGTTCTCCTTCTACAGAGAATTCATTTACATGTAATCCGGCAGCGGTTGATTGTATCTCTAATTGCTTTCG